CAATTCTAGAAGAAACAAGAATGTGTAAATACGGACATGACAAGTGTTATGTTCCTTATTTAGCTTCTCAATCAATACTGGATGTTTAGACTCGAGCACTTACTTCTCTCTCCGTAAGTTAAAATTTCTATGTACGTTACTGGAAATGCGGAAATGACTACACATACGATCGTTGATTGTGTCTCTGATAGCGACAGAGAGACATGTGTCTAAATAGCCAAGTACATATATATAATATATATGTTACTAACCAGGTGACATCAGATCAAACTAGTTCCAAAACAGGTCAAGAACAATCTACTAATAATAACACCATTAGTCTCTAAACAAGCAGTTTCACTTAACACATAAGTCAATCACCTAAACCACAAGAAGCAATCTTTTTTTTTTTTTTTCCCTCAATTAACATAACCTAACCAAGTTTGATTCATGGATCAACCTGAACCAGGGATAGTAACAACTTCTGCCTTGTCAGACTCTTCTTCAAGTTCCTTAACCACCATTTGATCATCTTCTTCAGCTTCATTTTCTACTTTACCAGTCTCAGACACGCTTGTGTATGTCTCTCTATCACTCTCGTGTCTCTTTTCCTCATACATATCCTCCTTCTCAGTACATGTTGTGTCTGCAGTTGGCTCTTTGGCGGACTCTTGCTCTTTTGCCTCAGTTTCAGGTTCTGCATTTGGCTCTCTCACTGACTTTCGCTCTTCTCCATCAGTCTCAGGTTCTGCATTTAGCTCTTTCAGTGACTTATGTTCCTCTCCATCAGCTTTGAGCTCTGCTGTTGGCTCTTTTACTACTTTGCTCTCTTCTCCATTTTTGGGTTCTGCAGTTGGCTCTTCTGCTACTTTGTGCTCTTCTCCGTAGGTTTTGGATCCAGCAATTGGTTCTTTTGCAGCCTCCCATTCTTCTCCGTCAGTTTTGGGTTCAACATTTGACTCTTTCACAGAAATACGCTCGTCTCCTCCATCAGTTTCTGGTTCTGCAATTGGCTCTGTTGTAGACTGTAGCTCTTCTCTATCAGTTTCTGTTGCTGCATTTGGACCTTCAAGCAATTCTTGGTGATCTCTCTTACATTCAAGCTCTGCATTTGACTCTTTCTCGAATTTCAGACTGTCTTCACCCTTAGTTTCAGGTTCTTCCTTCTCATCACAATCTTTTTCACTCTCCCGGTTCATAGCTTGAGTCACCTTCTGCCTTTTCTCAGACCTGCCTCTTCTTCTGCCAGATTCAGCATTTAGCTCTTCTAATGATTTAAGATTTTTCGCTTCTCTGCTCTCTGGTTCATTGCTTACAGCCTTCAGTCCACCTTTGGTTCTTTTCGCTTGCTTCGTGGAGTTTGGTACAGAGTCTTTCTTCTGCATTGAGGATCTGTATCCATAAAGGTAAGAGCTAATTAAATTCAATGATCAAAGCTTCATATAACACTAACTCCAATTATTGTCAATTTCCAAACCTGACTTCTGAAGAACTGCTCAGTTCCACATTCATAGACACGTTTTTGCTCTTCTTGGCTTTCTGCCTTCGTACTCTGCATATAGACACAAAAAATCAAGACTAAAAAGGTTCCAAGCTTACGCAAATTTAAAACTTGCGGGTGATACAGAACCAAGAACGTTTCACTTACAAGTCCAACAAAGTAAGAGACTCAGGCAGATCAATCTCCTTAATCTGCTTAAGATTTTGGATGGGATCAATACCCATTGATTAATATATTCTGTACAAGATAAAGAATGGTCAATGTCTAAAGAGAGGCTCAGTGTAGAAATTTTCACCTCACTAACTGAAGAACTATCCGGGATTATGTCCCAACGTTCTTTTTTCAGATTAAGGTTTTCAACATCCCCATCAGAATATGCTACCTGCAACGAAGACCAGCAGTAGGAAAATTCTATATGAATTGTGCAACAAAGAGAGAATTTTGAAATAGCAATTAGGGAAGTTAACTCACTTGATGCGTCTTCTTACGAATACAATAGGATTGTATGACGCCTTCATAAAACCTGTGCAAATATAAATGGTAAGATTGCTACCATTCATCACACCATGTCCAAAACGTAAGTTGGCATGTTTCGATATACACTTACTCCTCGTCGAGTGGCCACCAGACATTAACTCTCTTACCAACCAATTCCTCACCAAGCTCCTTCTTCCTCGACTCCTGAAAAGAGAAATAAAGGCCATATGAAAACAGGTGAAAAATCAATGCCTTGTTCCATGGATAGAGAAAAGCAAAAATTCACACCAATTCCTCTCCAGCTGTCCGTTTCCTCTTGGGATGGCTCTTGGGAGTTTGTTCAGATTCTTTGGTCAAAGGCGTCGTTGCACGAGAGTTCTTCTTCTGCATANTTTATCAAAATATAGACCATATAAAAACAGGTGACAAATCAATGACTTGTTCCATGGATAGNNAAAGCAAAAATTCACACCACTTCCTCTCCAGCTGTCCGTTTCCTCTTGGGCTGGCTCTTCGGAGTTTGTTCAGATTCTTTGGTCGAAGGCGTCGTTGCACGAGAGTTCTTCTTCTACATAGTTTATCAAAATATAGGCCATATGAAAACAGTTGACAAATCAATGACTTGATCCATGGATAGAGAAAGCAAAAATTCACACCACCTCCTCTCCAGCTGTCCGTTTCCTCTTGGGCTGGCTCTTCGGAGTTTGTTCAGATTCCTTGGTCGAAGGTGTCGTTGCACGAGAGTTCTTCTTCTGCATAGTTTATCAAAATACAAGTTCAAGGAAGAAGGAAGTTCTATAGTACTATATACAGGTTTGGTAAGAGAAATCATGGTTCATCAAAACTGCTACCTTGTTCTTTGATGATTGAGGAGTAGGAGTATCCTTGCTTCTGCTTTCTGAATTCTTTTTCTTAACATCTGAGTGGACTACTTTTTTCTCGCTGGTCTTTACCATCTTAGTTTCTGCATGTGGTTTCTTTGCAGATGTTTTTGCTGAACCATTCTGTGCTTTCTCCTTTTTACTTGACTTGGCAGTCTTAATGCCATTGTCAGGTTTTTCAAGGTCAGATTCCATAAAATCTTCTTCATCAGGAGCCTCTTTCTTCGGAATCTGTTTGTTTGAAGTTAGTGTAGCTAAAGAGCCTACATCAAGAATGGTCTCTTCCATCTTACTCCGGCTTCGCTTACGTGACCCCGTCCTAGCTCTACTAGAGGGTGACAGAGAAATAACGACAGACTGATTTGTTTGACCAACTTTAGAAGGAGAAGATGCTTTCTTTGCAGCCAGCTTTCCAAGTGATAAATTCCCAACTTCCTTTTCCTGCATCTTCTTGCTTGAGGACGTCTTAAATGAATAGCCTTCCTCCGGATTCATCAGAGAATTGGGTTTCCTCCCTCTCTTTCTTGTAGACCCTGATTCGGTCTCTGCATCTGTACTTTCAGACTGCCCTTGCTTCAAAAGCTGTTTCAAATCGTTTCCATTTCTTGTTTTGTCATCTCCATTGGCTCGACGAGTACCACCTCTTGCAGTTCTCTTGGACCTATTCCCCTTGCGAGAAATTCCCAAATCCAATTTGTCCTAAATCAACAATTTTGGGAAGATATTTATTAACAAACAAGCAATGTGCAAGAAGCTGAACATTAACAATTAAAGAGCCTACCAAATACAGTACCTCCAATGAATCACTCGGAACTACTTGCTCTTTTGATTTCTTTTCATCTGCCTGAAAAATAAAAAACAATAGAAGAAGTTTGATATAAATCATTGGCAGACGCAAATTCAAGATTCGACCACGCAACTACCAATCAAACCAGGATCTTTAGACATCAAGCAAGAATACCTCATTTTCTTTATCGTCAACAACATGGTGTGGTTGAGTAGTGGCAGATTCGCTTTGGCAGATTGAAAAAACTACTGGAGAATACATGTCCAAGCTGGTTCCTGTGGACCTCAAAGCTTCCATGATGCACGGTTGGAGCTTACAGGTGCATATACTGAGAACCTTCTCAACAAGCTTTGAAGCCATTGGTGAGACATCCTAAGCCATAACGAACAAAAAGATCAAATCTCAAATCTATTTAAGGCTTAGAAAATTTACAAGAAGTAGGAAAAACTTACCTGACTATCTTTTTTGACACTAGCCAAGAGAATATCGAGCAAGTCTGTGGATACTTCTTCACTTTCATCTATAACTGTGATCATTATTGTTTCCATTGCAAGAAGCACCACTTGAGGATGATCCGGGCTAAAATAGATGTAGAAAAGAGAAGCCATCAGCATCACATAAAGTACCTAGCATTGCTAACTCAGGTTCTGTATCTACCTTATGATTTTCAAGAACTGTCGAAACATCTCTAAAATAAGGTCATCGCACTCCAGGTCCAACATCACCAAGGATGATCTGACCTTTGAGACAGTATCAAGAACGGCCTCGGCTTTCCTATAACTGTGACAGGAAGCATCAGCTAGTTTCCCAAAGGCTTCTATCGTCACCTGGAAGATCTCCTGTAAGCCAAAGAAGCAAAGCAAATGCCACAGTGAGAGAAAATTCGAAGAAAACGTTACACAAAAAGAAGAGAATAGTGTTGGTAGAATTCACAGTATACACAGTTGTGGAATAATGGTATGTATCAACCTTCATTTGGTCATCGGTATATGGGGCCTCTGGGGCAGTAATCCTCATGATTTCGGTTAAGCAGGAGACAACGAAAACCCTAACATCAGAATCAGGGTTTCTTAAGAGATCAGCAGATACCAAAGCCTTCATTGATGGAATTAGGGCTCTCTGTACTGAGACAGAAGGATCTTGCTCGACATTTAAGAGCAGAGACTCGATTTCCTACACAGAGAAGCATCGAAAATCAGAGTATTGAACAAAAAAGGCAAAGAGAAATTTCCTCTAGAAGCAACAGAAACCTAAAGGCTTTCACCTTTACGGCAGAAACGAGTTCCCTATCCCAAAAATATCTCAAGAAACGCTACAAAAATTACCAACGAACAACTACAAATCGGAAATTTTGCATCAAACATTGAACAAAAAAGGGGCAAAGATCGAATTTTCCTTATCGTCAAAATACGAGAAACCCTAAATCGCATCCTGTAATCCAAACCCCAACAGAGGAATTTCACACAAACCCAACAAAAAGATGAACAAAACCCATTTATACAACATC